ATCAGGGAAGTTGATCTCCGACTCGACAGTCGCTCAGTGAGCCTCTCCAACCCACATGGCACATGCTTCCCTTCCTACTCGTAGACATCTACTACGATGCAACACCATACCTTCGCAATATGCGGGTGCATAAGCCTTTCCGCCACCAACACACTTCTACATCTAGAGTGCAGGTAGGGCTTGCTGAGGTCGTCTGAGGACTGAGATGCTATCGTCTCAAGCGTCCCCTTTACCTTCCTGTACACTTCGAGTCCTTTTCTTTCATACTCTGCCGGTCCCCCCCCCCTGCAATTCCTTATCTCCACATCATACATCTGCTTCAGCCCATAGCACGGCACCGGGCGCCTCCTACGTTAATTCTGTCGCTGCCAGGGGCCTCTGATTCGGCATTTGAACAAGTTGATGCATCGTGCCAGTCGCCGTTTTACAAAGAAACACATCTCCGGAATAAAAATATACTGTACAGAAGAAACCAGCGATGCCACAACTCATAAAAACATAACACCGACGTCAATGTCATCCATGCAACCTCTGCCGTCGAGCCAGGGTACGCGTCTATTGGCTCTCATTCACCTCCGCGCTCTTCCTTTCAATATCCGCCAGGAAGGTGATGAGTTCCTTGAAAGAGGCAAAAGACGACGGTCAGTTGACACCAGGTAATGACTCCGACGAAGGTCAGCGTACATTATTCGTCGGCTCGAAGGAGAGGCCCAGCCTCACTGCCTCCGCAGCGTCGCGCAGCTTATTCATCCCAAGCAGCGCCTTCGACTTCCTAAAGTGCCCTTTACTCCAATTCCTTCGGATCTGGATGACAGCTTCCGCATCCGCCAGAGCCGACACGTAGTCCTGCGCCTCGAAGAATGCTGCAGAGCGGTTGGAGATGACGGTGGAGAGCTCCTCGCGCATAAGCTGGTTCGCCTCCCACGGCGGTCGTGAAACGGCGATCGAGGCAGCGGCAGTGTATCGGTTGATTGCAGCAGTGTGTAGCGAGGATTTAAATAACGACTAGGTGTTGCATGGTACGTCAGTGAACTGTATGTCTGCTGTCGATTCCAATAGGAAGAGAACGTACGTTTCCTTCGTCCTTGGTGCTAGTGACCACTTGGGACAACTTTTGCGAGACAACGTTCGCTGGTGGGGGGCAGAGCAGGCTTGGGTTCGCAGCAAGGAGTGACGAGAGGCGGTTCAGGCCGACGAAATCGACATTGCAGGAGTTGCATGTCTCGCGTCCGTGTTTGCCACAGTAGGCATTGTTTTTGTCGTCAGAGAATGAAAAATCTACGGGTTTGAAGTCCTGGTCAATGAGGGCCTGAAGTACTGGGTCCGGCGTGGGTAACTGTGGTGATTGCGGGGCCTCTTGGGCATGCGAATGGGAATGAGAATGCTCCTCTCCTGGTGCATGTGAGTGTGAGTGCGACATGGTGGGCAGAGACAAGATGGGGTCTCTGGAGACAGCGGTATAAAATGTTGACGTGCAAGTTGACGTGACGAGACGACTGCCACGTCTGTAAATGGCTTGTTTGTATTGCGCCGCTTTGCCAAACATGCCGCTTCCCTTCTCATCAACTCTCGATGCCTTTGCGCGTTTGCCGTGAGCCGTTGGGCTGAAGAATTTCTTGGATCTCAATGCGGAGAACTAGCCAGTCTCCAGCTTGCGCCACTGATGCCGCGATTGGTATTGACATGGTGGTTGCTATTGTTATGCCCGCCTAGCTCAATCGGATAGAGCGTCAGACTCTTAATAGGCAATGGCATCTGAAGGCTGCGAGTTCGACCCTCGCGGTGGGCTATACGGAAGATAAATGAACATCATTTCTTTTTGTTCAGAAGTACGCCACACCAACCAAAATGGGAGCGTGATCGAACGTATTTCCCAACGCCTCGACAATCGGACACTGTTGAGAACTGCAACTTATAAGGTGCCAATGCCAAGCAAAATGACTCCGGCTACTACATATGTCATAGCCCACTGCGAGGGTCGAACTCTCAGCCTTCAGATGCCCTTGCCGTAAAAGTCTGACGCTCTGGCCGATGGCGGGCCGATCCAACAGATGACCATTGCTCCGAATGGCGTTCAAGTGTGGCTAAGGTTCTCGCTTGAGGCAAAAGAGACATAGCCCACCGCGAGGGTCGAACTCGCAGCCTTCAGATGCCACTGCCTAGTATAAGAGTCTGACGCTCTATCCGATTGAGCTAGGCGGGCACTGTGTCATCGGTCAAGCCATCCATCGGGACCACCAATCTCTTGGAGATTTGTTACTTCCTTCGTCCATTGGACAGCTAGTCATGATATGATGCTCTCTGGGACGG